TAAATAATTATTATAAAACAAAGAGAATAGTACAAATAAACCCTTATATACTGTAGCTCAATTATCTCAATTATGGACAGAATTGTTTTGGATACAGTTGTTTAACTAGGTTGCACTGGCCTCTTGTGGTGTAAAGGGTTGTGGTAGTAATTTCAGTCTGAATCAGAAATAAAACCTAAACTTAAAGCGTAAATTAATTTTTGTGATCAAATTGTTGTAACAGAATTAAACTGTACTAGAACTGGATCTGAAATCAGCAATGAAGACCTGTCCACTGGTCATGTTTGCCATTATAAGCCCAGATGAATAGCTAATCACGGTAAAAGTACAAGGATATTCGCGAATATACTGACACTATCACCTCTTATCAGTTGTGTGTGTGTGTGTGTGTGTATGTGTGTGCGTGCGTGAGAGAGAGGGGGGCTGGGGGTAAGGAGTCTGCGCTGATCACAGCACATTGCCGCACCCACCACACCTCAGGGATGAGATCGTGGGTGGCCATCTATTAACTGGGGGGCATGGTTAACAAATCACTTGGCCACTCATTAAATGGCATGGTTAACAAATCACTTGTGACGTCAGTCTCCACCTTGACACCTCCGCCAGTTGTCATTTTTCCAAATTCACCAAGACCGCCATTGCCAGCCAGGCCTCTGATTGGTCAATAAGAATATTATCATAGACTCTTCAATAGAATATCTGGAATTCCCTGTGATGTTCCCACCCATCACATGATGACTTTTGATTGTTTCATGTTCTCCATATGTTTCACTTGTTTCCTCCAAGTTCTCCTCTGCAGTCCAAAACCAAGCAGCCAGCCTGGCGTCTCTTAATTGCCCATATTTTGTGCTAAACTAGCATCCAGACCCAGGTGCCCTATGATGCCTGGGTTACAATCCATCCTCCCCCAACCCCCAGTTGTCCCTCTACTGCATTAGCTGTTTGAAAATGGATGCATGCAAGTTTGCAAAATTGTTCTGAAAAAAAGGAGATAGGGGGTGACATGGTGGTGCAGTGGTTAGCACTGTTGCTTCACACCTCTGGGACCTGGGTTCAAGTCTCCGCCTGGGTCATATGTGTGTGGAGTTTGCATGTTCTCCCCATGTCGTTATGGGATTTCCTCTAGTTTCCCCCAACAGTCTAAAGACTTGCTGAGGCCAATTAGAGTTAGTAAAAAGTTTAGTTTTCTAAAAATATATTTTTGCAGCTCGTAATGCAGACCAACAAAATAATTAACTATTTTTTAATGCAAGTGTATACATTTTTAAGAAAGAAATTAATTTAATTAATTAAGAGGTGAAGGGATTTTTTTTCCATACCTGTAGTTGAACATAATCTAATTAATCTAGTTAATTATCAACAGCCCTGTTTTTATGTTAATCAATTAAAATGTAATGTGTAATGCGTTTAAGAACTTAGGATGCTGTGCCTTTTTTTTGTTCAAAGCAATCAGAAGGTTGCCAGTTCAAATCCTTGGTTTGGCAGAGAGATTTCACCATTGAGCCCTTCAGCGAAGCCCTTAACATTCAATTGCTCCTGGGACAGTCTGACCCTACTATCGCAAAGAAAAAAATGCAATAAAGTTCCTTTGTAATTGTGTGCAGTAATCTTCCCCCCTGCATATGCCCTTTCATTTTAAAACAAGAACAGAGAACCATGAATATCTGAATTTCAGCATAAATATCAGGGCGCTAGGCTCAGTGGTCAAAAACTATGAAATGGTTACCTTTCATTTCCATGAAGAATGGGGTAGTTTATTAACTGATACTGGCTGTGCTCAGTAAGGTCTGTGATCTGGTTGTTCCTCTTATATCCACACAGGGGCAGCATTTACACAGTTACAGCAGGAAAAACTTTAAAATATGTTCCTACCCTCCAAAAACATGCTCATTATATGTATTAGAGCCTCTAAATTATTCATTGTGTGTCCAGTGGTGGGTGTCCTCTGCCTTATTCCATATGCTTCATGGGGCTACGGTTCTGTGCTGCATGGATGTGTGTGTGTGTGTGTGTGTGTGGATACTGCTGACTGTACAACAATTTGCCCCTTGGGGACAATAATGATATCCTTGATCCTTGGGGATGTACAGTTCACTGGGTTACCAACAGCAAGTCTGTTGCCATAGCATGGGATAAATCAGTAAAAGTCTATTTGATGACCCAAGAAAGCCAGGATGAACTGGAATTCTCCGATTCATCCTCTCCCCAGGTCAATGTGCTGCAAGCATTCATGCGACGATTTAAGTTGCCTCTTAATTCAGTTAAAATTTCTGGGAAAACAGATTGAATGCCCACTTAATAATACATTCCAACATCGAATGTTTGACGGAGCTGTAACAGTGCAGGTAAGTGATGTACAGTAGGGTAACTGTTTGTGTCTGCTAAGCTGACGCAAGCAAATTGTGATGGAACCCACCAGATGGACACTGATGCAGATCAGTAGAAGGGAAACCGGTTTCATTATAGGGAAAAAGCCATTGAGGAACAGGATCCAAGGCAGCACAGAGACGTCCTAGTTATTGATGGTTGGAGGGAAGACAGGATGGTGGCGACTTTAATGAGGTGGCTGAGGCGGCTGGCAAGGTCCGTAGTCCAGCCGATGGTCGGCCGGTCGGCGTCAGTCACCGGAGGGCAGAGTCGCCATCATGAGTACAGACGAGCTCCCAGAAATAGAAGCCTAATCAGTAGGGGTGCTTCCTGTCCTACAGAACAGAGGAAGCACCAGTGGAACTTACCTTCACAAAGGAGCAGCCCAGGCAGCAAGTGCTGCAGCAAGAAATCCAGAGACCACTGAGCAAGAAGATCCAGGCCAACCCATGATTAGAAGTCAGCCAGGTGGACCGTGGATGATGTCCCTAAAACTCTAAGAGGAAGTACATTTGGAGATTGTTTGGCTATAGAAGTGAAGATAGCTGGTATCAGGACTAATTGCCTTCTGGACACTTGGTCAGAAGTGACGATCATTAGTGAATCACACTTTAAGAGTCACTTTGGAGAGCTGGAGCTCTCTTCGGCTAACTGGGTTCGACACACTGCAGCAAACATATTTGATATCCTAGTTCTAGGTTGTTTGGAAGCCGAAATAGAGTGCTTGGGGAAGACACTCCCAAAGAAGTGCATGTTTATAAGAAGGATGGACAGATATGGTTCCCCCTAGAGAAGTCTAGAGAGTGTTAGCAAGCATTAAAATGGAGACCGAAGCCTTGGGTTCTGCAGACAGGATGTACTTTGTGAAAGTGGCAAGGAGACAAGCAGTTACTGTCCCCCCGTTCAGTGAACAGGACTTAGAGGGCCGATGCCGACTACCTCTGAAAGCAAAAGGGCAGGTGTTGGTTGAGGCCACTCCTGAACCTACAGACTCCTTGTTGCCAACGTTCTTGCTTTGGTAGCAGATGGCAAGATCCCAATTTGAGTATTAAATTTCAGTGAGAGACGGGTGAGGCTGATGCCCCGATCCAGAGCAGCCACAGTTTAAAGGCCACAAGAAGTTGTCCCAAGAAAGCTTGTGGAGTTTGAGGAGAAAGAAGGAGTCCTGTATGTCAGGGCTGTGCAGCAGGACCAGGCATAAGCCACTAAGTGTAGCACTAGGCAGTTACCAGTTCCAGTTCAGGTAAATCTTGAGGAGCTCATGCCATCTCAGTACCAGAAGCTCAGGAATCTGCTAACAAAGCACTATGATATGTTCTCAAAGGGTGACTCTGATTATGGGGACGTTTCTAGTGTCACGCATAACATTGCTCCAGGTGGCGCTTCCCCTGTTACGCAGAGGCATCGTAGGGTGCCACCTCCTGTGTTTTAAGAATTCAAGATGAACCTTGTGTCCCAGGGAACTCTCAGGGAGAGCTGCAGCCTTTGGGTTTCCATAGCTGTTATTGTAATTAAAAAAGATGGCAGTGTACGCTCCTGCTGTGATTACCGAAAGCTGGACCAGGTCACGTGCCAAGATGCTTACCCTCCCCCAAGAGTGGAAGAATCCTTGGAGGCTTTAGGTAATGCCCAGCTGTTCTCACCGTTGAATTTCACTTCAGGCTCTTTCTGGGTCACTATGGATGAAACGGACGTAGGGGAAACTGCTGTCACAACAACTTTTGGCATTTACAAATGGTCCAGGATCCCCTTTGGGCTCTGTAACGCCCCCGCAACCCCCGAAAAACCTCTTTTTCAGAGGTTGATGAGGGTAGTGCTAGGTCAGGGGTCAGCAACCTGCGGCTCACAAGCCACATGCGGCTCATTTGCGTTAATTTTTAAAGGGCCTGCTTGCACCATGTCTCTTATAGGCAGTCCCTGCACCCTCTGAAGCTGTCGAATAGCGTTATACTGCTTACAGCTGGGAAATGTAGTACATTTTAAGTATCACTGCTTCAATAGGACAGCGCAGAAAAAAATATTTAGGTTCAGGTCTGGAAAGTAAAAATCCAAGCCAAGGTTTTGTTGCAACCAACCAGGTGAATGTGACTCTTTATGCTTAACTGAACTTTTCACATCTTAAAAACAGAATATTATGGAATTTTAAGGAACAAAAAGCACAGTGAAAGAAAATAATAATAAAAAATGTTTTTTTATTTATTTTGAAGCAGTCTGTTTTTTTTGGGGGGGGGGGCTGGTGCCAGTTAGAGTGGCACTGAATCTCCTAACATGGTCATTAAGGGAGACCCCCCAAGCACATATTTTCTCTCTTATGGGTGGTCCTTAAGCTTTTATCCCCCTCAATTCGGATTTAACACTGATTTAAACTTCCCACCAAGCCACAATGGGACCCTATGGAAAATCTGAATCATCCTTTTCACACTTATCCATGTTTTTAGGCCTATCTACCATTGAAGTTCCCAGTTTTTTTCCATTGCATTCGCAGGTTCTGCCACCAGAGGGTGCCAGTTCTCAGTTGGCCATATCCAGTTCAATGAATAGCTCAGGGCAGAAGGAGGATCTGTGTGGAGGGCCTGTGTGCCCCCACCCACAAGCTGGGGTGTATTTAAATGGTCTGTCCCACCTCCCACCTCACATAAGAGCCAGACCAGTAAGAGGAGAGAATACCAGCTATAATCCAGATACAGACAGAGTGCGGGATTTGCTGTAAGCCATTACGGTAAGTTTGCTTAAACATTTGTTTTCCCACGTCCTTATGGATGGATATTTTAAATTCTGAATATTTTTTTTAATTATTTTGTGAAACTTCTTTTCCTGTCTTTGTGGTCTTGAAAGTGCCTATCATTTATTTCTTACTGATTTTACAGATCTCTGGAGTCTTGGCCCAGTCCAGCTTCCATGTGGGTGTTTGAGAAGATCCGCGTCTCTGTGGAACGAACAAACCTGTCGCTCTCCATAGCAGAGTACAGCTTCAAGCTGGGTGACGGCATGTTTGGGGAGAGACCGTCTCCCGAAAAGGGCAAGAAGACCCCCTTATGTCCGAATGTTATCACCCCAGACACCATTCCTGAGTTTTGCATACCTCCGAAGATCAGCTCCCAGCATGAAGAGCGGGGGGGCGACACTGTCAAGCCAGGTTATGGTCTTAAGTGCAGGGCTCCACGAGACCTGCCAATGAGGGATGTGTTCAGCTCACATATCATCCAGGTGGAGGCTGTGGATGAGGCTCCCCAGGACAATGGGTACAGCGATGAGGACAGCACCAACGCAGACCCCCAGAGCCAGGCTGCCCTCTCACTCCCTCATCTCCCAAAGGCACACACCTGTTACGGCTTTTGTACCTTACTAGAGAGCCCACACACCAGGAGGAAGGAGTCGCTGTTCCACAGTGATCCAGCTATCTACAGCCTCCCGTTCACGCCCCCCCCCGCAGGCAGGTCCCAGGTCAAGCTGCTCACCACAGGCTCCTTGGCCAGGCTCGGTGGCCTGACCTCCAAGCTCTCTCCCCGAGGACTGATGCTGGGCAGGCAGGGCACCCTGGACAGTGACACCACCTCTTCAGCGGAGTCGTCCCCCTTCAGCTCCCCGCTCCTGGTGCGACCATGTCCCCGGGGATCCCTCTTCAAGGCCCTGAGCCGTGAGAAGCTGGTGTGCAGGGGTCCTAGGAGGACCGCTGCGTTTCGCAACGACTCGTTGTCCACTGACGAGGGTAGCTCCACGGACAACAGCCCCAACGTCCTGCGGAGAGCGTCGGAGGGCCCAGTTGACCAGACCTTCAGCCTAGCTCCTCCTGTCATCTTCCCCACAGAGTTGGAGCTCTACAGGGACCGAGTACTGAGAGAAAGTCGCGTCCCCCTGGGCCGGGATGGTGCCCTCCGGCTGTCCGCCGAATACAGCGCTGAGAACCGCCGGTTCCGCGTTCGCCTCATCAGCGCAGAGGGCCTGTACACCCCCTCAGTGAACCCCCGAGGCATCAGCTGTACAGTCAGCCTCTCTCTCCTGCCTGGGAGGGTCCAAAAACAGCGCAGCACGGTCATCCGGAAGAGCCGGAACCCCATCTTCAATGAGGAATTCTTCTTCGACGGCGTTTCTGAAGACGACCTCTACTGCAGGTCCCTTCGCTTCAAGGTGATCAATAAAATGTCCATGAAAAGAGACTATACCCTGGGACACTGTGAGATACCCCTGTCCAGCATCGTGACCCTGTAATCATATACAGTCTGGAATGTTCTATTTAAAAACACACACTCGTACCTATGAGAATTTATTTATATTTTTATACTGTCAAAATGTATTTTTCCAATAAACTGTAAAACACACTTTCATTTCCTCTGTTTGTGTTTAATGATGCTGTTTCTAATAGGGTTACATTACAGGGAGGCAGATCCTGCTGATGTGTGTTATGTTTCCTAAACACCGTGTTGTGAAGGAACAAGAAAATTAAATATAACCTCAGCTATACAAGTTTGTGATGCATAGGAACACAGTGAGGTTTTTTTTTTTTTAAATGACATGCAACAAATTTTGATTTTATGTAGCAACATTTTCTATAGTGAAAAAGCTCACTGTCACATGATTGCTACACTAATATTGGATTTTACGGATCAATATTTAACCATAAGGACACTTTTCAATTTAAGCAACCGATCGAGGGGGTTAATTATCAACAGTCCTGTTTTTGCAGGCTTGGACCATTGTGAGCTTAGTGCCCTTGTAGGTACACAACAGGTAGGACGTAGCTGAATGCTCCTTCCTGAAGGTGAGCTCACGCAGGATTCCTGCTACTTACCCAACGGCACTTTCCCTCACTGAATCACATATAATTGTATTCTGACAGGTGTGGGGTTCGGGAAACCTGTGAGTGTCCCTAACTTGCCGCCGTTTCCTCCTGACCTTTGCCGAGATTAAAAATAACCGTGGCAACGTGAAACATGAGCTCGCGGTTTTAATCCCTAATTGTTTGGATTTCAAATCATGTCAGTGTACAGCAAACGTAATTATGCCGTCACCGTGTATCATTAACCAAACAGTGCAGGCCTGCAGATACACAGTATGTTTAAAATCACGCTCACAATAAGGGTGAAGGGAGGACCCTACAGCACAACCACAATGGCTGCTTTTCAGTATTTTTTTTTTAATTATTTTTATTAATGTTATTCAACAGGTTTGTAATGAATGAGAAAATAACAGCCAGCGAGGGGGGGTCAATGACGTCTCCTTATGACGTAATGTTGGTTCTCTTTTGTCAGTGACTAATACAGGTGCTCTTATGAAAAAACAGCATTGCTCACGTGGATAAATTAGACAAGATGCGCAAATGTGGAGGACAGTAGAGCATCCGGGAACTGCCATGACTCAAACGTACAGTGCGGCAGCAGCAGCAAAGGGCACCTAAGTGAATGTTTTGGCAGCCGATGCAGATCATCTGCGGACGTATCTCCAGCAGTGTTGGACTGCACTTTGAGTAAAATACATTGAGTACTTCATTAATGGACAGTACTGTTGCCTCTCTGGAACCCGGGTTCCATGTTTATGGAGTTTGCATGTTCTCCCCGTGTCATCATGGGGTTTCCTTCGGGTACTCCGGTCTCCCCCCACAGTCCAAAAACGTGCTGAGGATACTTGGGGTTGTCAAATGGCCCATAGGTGTGTGTGGGTGAGTGCTGGGTGAGTGAATGATGTGTGAGTGTGTGGTGTGTGAGTGAATGGTGTGTGAGTGAATGGTGTGTGAGTGAATGGTCTGTGAGTGTTTGGTGTGTGAGTGAATGGTCTGTGAGTGTTTGGTGTGTAAGTGTGTGGTGTGTGAGTGAATGATGTGTGAGTGTGTGGTGTGTAAGTGAATGATGTGTGAGTGTGTGGTGTGTGAATGAATGGTGTGTGAGTGAATGGTCTGTGAGTGTGTGATGTGTGAGTGTGTCCTGTGATGGGCTGGTGCCCAGTCCTGGGTTGTTCCCTGCCTGGTGCCTGTCGCCTCTGGGATAGGCTCCGGACCCCCTTTCACCCTGAGATGGATAAGCAGTTTCAGAAAATGGATGGATGGAAGGATGATTGCATTCACAGATCCCAAAAACTGGTTCCCACAACGTCAAAATGACAGGTTTTTATTACATTTTGGGAGTCATTTGGTCCCCACAAAGTAATATAAACCTAATGCACACACACACACACACAAAGTGCTTATGTATGAATTACCCTACATGTAATACTGAAGTTTCCTGATGAGTCTAACTGATAAACATCTGCAAATAAGACAGCTGTCCTTTCTGAGTGGGGGGGGGGGGGCACCTTCTCCGGCCAAAAGATAACTCTTTACACGAACCAAATTCCCTGTATGTTTCTGCCTGGATTTGCTGTGTGGTAAAACCAAAAATCCCCTTCGGGGGGGGGGGTCAGACCACTTTGAGAGGGGTGACGCTCTCGTGCGATAGGCTTGGAGGCCATCCCAGGCCATTAAGAAAACAAACAGCAAGGGCAAATTTGTTCAGCGCACCCGTCATAAACAGATAAAACCCCTCAGTCTGATTTTGACGGCCGCTGAAGTTGCCGGGCAACAGCAACCAATTTCATTGGAGCCAGAGTCGACCAAGTAACATTTATCACTGCCTCTGCCCTCCTAATTCAGCCCTAGCTTTTAAGGGGATCTCAGGAACAATAGCATTTCACTTTCTCTTTGCAGTGGGAGAAATGTATCTGGGATGAGAGAGTCTGGCGTGTTGCCTGGGCAACAATAAGTTCAGACAAGACAAATAGGGGAGGAGAGTTTAGTAGACATTAAGCCTCAAAACAGCAGTGCTGTCTGTCTGTGAGATGGCGTGGGGGGCAAATGTTCAGGGTGGGTAATCAGCAGCTTGTTACTGATTAAGATATAAATCAGGCCTTTAGGGAGAGTGATACAGAGCGAGTGTGAGAGGGCTCTCACAGGGATTAGGTGCTACATTCAGACCATAAATTTGGTCTCTTCTGATGACAGTTTGGTAACACTTTACTTAAGGCCATGTTTCTAGTCATTTATAAACACATTCATAACAAATAATGATAACACTTTACAATAAGGTTCCTTAATAACTTAGCAGTAAATCATTTACTACTCAAGGACAAATCATAAACAAATATAGTCACTACTTGTGAAAAAAAAGCGCTACAATTCATTAATGATGAACAGACATGAGATCAGTATAGCATTTTTTGTGTAACTCATTATTCGTACTTTCAGTAGTTCACAAAGATTTATAGAATTAACAGCCATAATAACCAAATACAGTAACTGCTTAAAATAAATGATCTGTCTCAATTCATTAATAGGTTGCAGTGAGTGGCTCATCTCAACACTACGTTTCTGCGCCTCTGATCAGAGGATTGCCAGTTTAAGGCCTGAGTTCAGCAGAACAGTCATGCGTCTGTGTAACCTTGAGGTTAACCTTGGGCCCTTAATCCCCAGCCCCAGGGGTGTTGGCTGACCGTGTAGTGTGAACCCCCCCCCCCACACACACACACACACACACACACAGACACACCACAAGGTGTGGAGAAGAATTCCAATGTACTTGTGCAAATGAGAAATAATGCTCATGAGGTGGCTTGGTGGTGCAGTGGTTAGCGCTGTTGCTTCACACTCCAGGGACCCGGGTTTGAGTCTCCAGCTTGGTTCCTCATAGGTTTGGACCCCCTGCAGCCCTGAATAAGACGAGTAGTTATAAAAAGATGGATGGTCATTTTTATGTTAATGTGATCTGCTACTGTGCTAATTACTATATATATTAATCTATAAATAAACCTTTGTGAAGTACTGAGAGAAAAAATAATGAATAACACAAAAAGTGAAATATCGATCACATGATCATTCTTCATTAATGAATCATGATGAATCATTTATTTCAAGCAGTTACTATATATGTTACTGTATCTGTTAACGTACTGAAGGAACAAATAATGAATAACGCAAAAAGTGATATACATATGTTCTGTTTGTTCATCATTACTGAATAATAGCACATCTTTTACCTCAAGTAGCTACTATATTTATTCATGATTTGTATGAGTAGTGAATGATTTGCTGCTAAGTTACGAAGGCATCGTATTGTAAATAATAATGCATTCATAAAGCATTATGTACATGACTATGAATATTCATCAAAAGTGTAAAAGGCATAACACATTATAGCCAAAATGACCCATTAATGACAGAATAAATTCTCACTTAAGGCAGAAATGCATTTGAAATGGACTGCACTTAAAACGTTTTACTTGTAAGATAAATTGCAACGATTAACTACAAAATATGCATTTGGGGTGACAGCAGAAGTGATACACGTAGGTTTTGATGTAATAACAGGCAACAAATGGGTTTGCATGTGAAAATAATAAAATCTGAAAAAGCCCAAGTACAGATTGCAAGGACGTGCACTGTACATGCAAAAGTAATTAATGAAGGACAATTTCATGTGCAGTGGAAGTAATTTCACAGGTCATTTAACAAGAAAAGCAGGTGGTATTCTCAGCACAGGAAAAGACTTCCGTTAGCTAATTTAGAATAGTTAATGGAACATTTTGAGTTAGACAGCAGTACCATTTAATCAACAAGGTTTTTTCAATAAAATAACTCATTCGGTAGATACTTTAATATAGGATTCAAACTAATAGGCTCCTTTGTAAGTTTTATGAATGAAGGCAATAGAGTATTATAACAGATTCACAAAATAAAGATTTCAAGAAAAAGACAACAATTCAACATAATATAAAACAGCACGCAAGTATATCAGCAGCATTCATTTATACCCATGAAATACAAAACACACATATATACCCATGAAACACAGAGCACAACTACGTCAGCAGAGTTAATTTATACCCATAAAACACAGAGCACAACTACGTCAGCAGAGTTCATTTATACCCATAAAACACAGAGTACAACTACGTCAGCAGAGTTCATTTATACCCATGAAACACAGAGCACAACTACGTCAGCAGAGTTAATTTATACCCATAAAACACAGAGCACAACTACGTCAGCAGAGTTCATTTATACCCATAAAACACAGAGTACAACTACGTCAGCAGAGTTCATTTATACCCATGAAACACAGAGTACAGCTACAACAGCAGAGTTCATTTATACCCATAAAACACAGAGTACAACTACGTCAGCAGAGTTCATTTATACCCATGAAACACAGAGTACAGCTA